TGAAGCACCATCTTTAAGAGAGTAGCTATGCTAACATTAGTTACCTTGAATCAAGTAGCCTATGCTAACTCCAGCCATGATGTACATGATGGGGTGATACAGTCTCTACAGACTCTTTTACAAAAACTATTTTAAAAAATCACAATGTTAAATTTTATATTTTGCAGCTGTATTTAGTCAAACAGAGTAAGGGCTGCATAAACTAGATGACTGTATTATTTTTTTTTTTTCTCATCTCCATTTACCTAGCCTACATGTACGGCTTTCACGATCATGAGATTTTAGCTGACAATTAACTGATATATAAATAATTGCAATTAACGAGTAAATGATCTTTTTGTTCATTGTGTGCAACTAAAGTGACCAAATTGGCTTATTAGTCATCTTGCAAAGCAAAATAAAAACCTTATTCTGCTAGCATACATGCTAAAAACATAAGAATTGGCTACATCACTAACAAACTCCGCACTGCCCTCTAAATGTTAGAATGTTAGAATTTATATCTTTATTTTTTTACATGGGTGCCATGCTTTTCTTTTATTTGCATTTATTTGCCGCAACCCAATACAATAAATTAACATTTTGCTTGTTGTCACTTAAAATTCTCGTTCGATCTAATGTGGAAATTGATTAGCGTAAATAACTGAGGTTATCTCAAATAATTCAGATCATCTCAAATAATTGTGGTTAGGCGATTATGTAATAATTGTGACAGACTTACCTACGTGTCTCCACCCGAGTTGTGGAAGTGGATGTTGTTGTATTTTTTGTGTTTAAAAATTAAAATGTAGTAAAATTGAAATTTCAGTGTAAAATTGAAAGTGGCCTTTGCCTCTGACCACCCTCCGCAACAGTCTGCTGTGTAAGCAGACAGACCCTCGTTCATTGCCACATTGAGTAATTTGTTCATTGTTGATTACACCAGGCTTATGCCTTTTTTATGAGTATGAGTGCGTGTAAATAAACAGTATCGGGCCGATATCCGCTATCAGTATCTGTACCAATGCATCCCGACACTTAACAACTCAGTGTAAATGGAGATGCGTGATGATTTAGGCTTCGGTACAGCCTGGTGATTTCTTGTTATTAATAGTGTTTGTTGTTGTGTTTTAATGTTCATATATGAAGCATTAGATATCATGAGAATGCGGTGAAGTATTATGCATGAAATCTGCAACTTATATGATGTTACCATTGTATGTAGGCCATAGTCTCTCGGTGTTGGTCCCCCTGACACGCAGTGAACATTGTGGTACTTCGATGTTTGGCTGCACCACCACGTTAAAATGTGTTTCAGCACTGCTTTAGTTCATTGTCGTGTTTGTTCATGCAGAAACAGTCTCTGACTTGAAGACAGCTTTGAGCAAAATGGCTCTTGTGCAGTTTAAGATGCCGTCTTTAGCCCCAGCGGCATCTTCAGTGCAGTGGCGAGCCCTGGAGAGAGGTGATGCAGTTTTAACACGTGCTATTTTATTTATCTGTGCTAAGTAACCGTTTCAGTGCGGTCGTCTGAGAAAGCATTACAAGTGTTTCACAAAAAGGCTTTGAGAGAGTGAGGGCCCAAGGCAGCTGCGCCGCTCAGTTAGCTACGAGGTTGAAACGGAATTTTGCTCAGAGTGCTGAAGTTAGTACTTCACAACATGTCGTTTGTTGATCTTTATTGGAGATGGAACGGATCAGATACCTAGTATTGGTATCATGCCAACACCAGAAAAAAAATGAGGTAAAAGAAGAATAAGGTAAAAGCTTAAAATAGAAGTATAGATTAAAAAAAAAATAATAAAGTGAATGTTTTAACAAGATGTTTAGAGATCTTGGTTCTTGGTTTTGGTTCACTGGTGTGCAGTGGTTTCATACAAAGATGAAATAGTGTAGTTGGGGACAGTTTAATTTTACGATAATGTGAATGGTAACAAGTTCTACTAACCCAAAATTGCATGCTTATTTTTAAAGTGTTATTAAATGATTATAATGATTATAATTAGAATATTTATTATAGCAATATTGTAACTATAGTAATTATTTAGTAATCATATTATAGTAATATAGTAATTATAATGGTACCAATTTGGTAATAAAATGATAAAAAAAAATGGTAACAAGTTGTATTAACCTAAAAATGATGTGTTCATTTTCTAGTTGTTAATAATAATTAATAAAAACCTTCATTTTTAGGGTAATTACTCTAGCATTATACAACTCTATGATTTAAAAGCATTGGGGTGGTATGTTGATAAAGCAGATGTGCCCTTAAAGCTGGACACAAAAAAAAAGACAATGATTGTCTAATTGTTTATTTCTCACTTTTACTGTAATATCTACTAATTAAATGATTTATATCAGCTGGAAAATTATTATTTTATTTATAGATAATTAGAGTTTGTAACCAGTATTTTTCATTTTATTACCAACTAGTCACATCTGCAATTACACAATGGTAAAATCTATAACTTGCTACTGTGAATTTACCATTTTATTAACACATTTTTACCATTACAATTATTAACTTATTTATTAACAGCTAGAAAAATAACCTGTAATTTTTAGATTAGGATACCTTGTTTAACATTATTTTACCATTTTATTACCAACTTGTTACTGCTATAATGTCAACTTATTTTTTAGTAACAGCTAAGAATGAGCTTGTAATTTTTAGGTTAGTATACATTGTTACCATAATATTACCATATTATTACCCACTTATAATCAATCTGTAAAGTGCTATTAAAAAATAAATGAAGAAATAAATAAAAATTAGATTTGTAATGAGCATTTTGAAGGTACAAATCTTGTAAAAAGCATGAGTAAAATCATTTTTTATCTCTTGAAAATGTAATTGAGTAAAAGTACAACTATTTAATTTCAGCAGTACTCAAAGTACAGATCTTTCAAAATAATAAAGTACAGTTACAATGTAAAATTACTTAAGTATGTGGCTTCCTAATGTTGACATAAGAACAGTAACTAGCTTATACAAAAATTATAATTCCTTTATTTTTAAATAATCACATTTAGCACAAATTTGCCCCCCCGTAGGTGAAATTTCCTTTTGAGAAAGAATTTAACTGAAGCTGTGCTTTTGTTTAAGTAATTGACGACTACACATTTCCTCTTGGATAGTAGAGTATCTGGCTGTGTCTCGATTTGCTCATTAATTCTGTACGTATTGAATCAGTACATGATGACTGTGAATTTGGACACTGGCTAGGTCTCCAGTCACAGCCATATGTCAGTCACACATTGCAATGTTTCATGTAATTATGCCTTTCTTCATTCGATTTACACCACTAGCATAATGCTAATTTTCGTTAGCATCGCTGGTGCCGAGCTACCCATCGGATTCCTGTGCAACGAATGGCAGATCTAGCTAAAACACAGTGAACTGATGACTGAATACATTTAGTTAGCATTTTATTTACATTACATCTGACCCTTTCAGTAAAGATTTAAACTTAAACTTAACTGGATATCTCTGAATGGGCCAAATTAGCCTGTTAACAAATCAGCCTACTTTAATGGCATATCAAATAAATAAAGTGCAACACTTATGAAATATAATGTTATGGATTGTTTTGTAAGTAGTCCTTGACAAACATTTACATAAAAACATACGAGTAAATTTAAATCAGAGACTAATGCAGCTGCTTAGCTAAGTAACGAACAGGTTGCAAAGAACATTTCAGTGAGTAAAAAAATGATAGTGACTTATAATATCTTTGCCAGAATAAAACTTTTGTTGTTGGCAGTTTTCATTTACAAGCGTGAAAAATAAACATTTAATATTTTTTTCCTGGTGAGGAGGCAATGAGAACATACAGCATTTGTCCTTTAAAAACAAGTTGAACTTGGAAGCATGATGCCATTTCAGGTGAAGAGACAGTGAACAGTCTTTGCACTTGAACTATTGCCAGGGGGCCACCCTAGAAAATGGCTGATTCCCTGGGCAGTACCCTGTACTCAACTGAGGGGCCCCTTGAGACAAATTGTATGTTTTAGCAGTTTGAGCAAGGTATTTTAGATATCCGTCTTAAGAGAAGGGCAATGAAAAGCGGCTATTGCTGATACTGTTGGTATCAGCTGATATTCTAGGTTTTTAGTTTTGGAAAACAGTGATATTGTGGCATCTGTACTTAGTTATTAGCCTTTACAATACTGACATTACAGCAGCCTGAAGTATGTAAATGAGCCGTCTGTCTAATCACCATGTTCTTTACTGTTTGCTCTGGCCATCTTGATTAATCGCAGTTCCATTTGAGCCTTTCTGTGGAGGTTTGGATGAATCATGGGATTCATGTAACCCAGCTAAAGTTCATTATTTTGGTCAAAATAATGCAGGACAATCTTCAGTCATCTCTTAATATGTTTTAAGGTGTATTGCAGTCTCAATATGTATCAATATAATTGCAATTCTGCAGTTTTTTCCATATTGTGGAGCCGAAGCTCAAGTCTCAAAATCTCAAAAACTTGACTTTGACCAGTAATAAACTAAAAATGTTTCAAAGGTCAGGGAAAGGGCTGCATTCTTATTCATTTTTATGTTTTTTTCTCCTTTATTGAAAGACTTAAGTGGGTTATTGTGGCGAAGAATACTGAAGCATTTATTATAAATGAGTTCACCTCTTGCATTTTTAAAATCCTGTTACAGGACACTATAAACATTGTAACCACGGTTACCATCCCAGGGACCTTCTCTGTGGTTCTTCAACTTAAAGCTCGCAGACGTTTATTCTTTTCCAGTTGTAAATTTAACCGAACCAGACAAAAATCGAAGCATGGCGCGGATGAATATGGTGGACCAGAGAGCACTGAGGAGTCATTTAGCTGCTATTCAGGCCATGAAAGCGCTGATGGAGACGACTTATGTGGTGAAGGAGTGCAGCAATGCTTTCTTGTCGATTTGTTCTTTTTTTTTTTTAATGAAGTAAAAGTTATTTTTGGGGTTTCATTGTTTTACAAAGTCACTTGCTTTAATGGTTGCTGTTGTTTTGTCTTTCTTGTAGGGTGAAAAAAACAATGGGTTTGACGTTCTGTACCATAACATGAAACATGGCCAGATATCCAGCAAGGAGCTTTCAGATTTCATCAGAGAAAGGTACGTTTTTACATAGACAAAACATGAAATGTTGTCGCTGCAGGTGGCTGTATAGTGGCCCCGGTCAAATTACATGTTTTGTTGATTTTGTAAGTGAAGTTAACACATTTTCTGCAGAGAACACATTTCTGCACGTTTTAATACACAATTACTGTTTATTTGCGGAATTTAACATATTGGGTAAAAAATAAAACTTTTTATGGCCACACTTTAAGGCACATTTTATATTTTATGTTTTATTTTGTTTCTACCATGTTAAACAAGTATCTCCAAAATAGTAATTTTATAGGAGAAATCAAAACACTCAATGTAAGTTAATGTAAAGAGGTTTTATTCCATCTGATTTTAAAGCATTTCTATTGGTCCATTCATCATGAAATCTTCACACAATGTCAAGAACAGCTGCTGTGTTGAAATGATGTAGAAAAATAAAATCTACAAAAATGAAGATACATGGTTTTCTTTGGACAGCGACAATATATATTGTATATGTATGTATGTATACAATGTATATAATATATAAAAAATATATCGCTGTTGTCAGAAGAAAACCTTGTGTCTCCAAAATGGTAACTTTACAGGAGAAGGAAAAAACCTACTCTACTTTTAATGTAAGTCAACGGAACCAGAATTTTTTCCAAGTTAATTTGTGACATTTTTTTTAGTCCATTTGTCATGAAATTTACACACAATGTAAAGGGCGACAGGCATTTTCAGATTTCCTCAAAAACTGAAAAATGACAAAAATGGAGATACAAGGTTTTCTTCCAACAACAGCAATATGTATTTGTTCCCTGTTGAAGATGTTTTGACTTAGAAAATCAACAAAATGTAATTTGACTGGGGTCACATTTAATATGCCTGGAGATATTACATTGCATATGTAATGTCTCTGCTAGCAGACCTACAGACTCGATGTTGTAACTGTTGAGGACTGAAAAAAAGGGTTTCTGATAGAAGTGGGTCATTCTTTAGATTCTTACATGGAGGAAGCTTCCCTTTAAATTTTTAACAATTGTATTTCCAAGCCCCACTGGTCACTGCAGGTTTCAAATGCTTGCTTTCTCTAGAATGAAAGCAAAATAATAAATATCCTAGCATATCATCAGCAATCAGAAGTCACTAGTTGTGGAGGAAAGGATGTTTATTTATAAAAGTCTCTGTACTGTTGTGTAACTACAGACTCACTTGTTTTTGCATTACTGAACAACTAATGCTTTTGACAAAACTGACCACTTTGTGTTTCAAAATTTCAAAAAGTTTCAAATTAAGTCCTGCATTTGTGTGTTGGCACCTCTGGCCAAACTTTGAAGTGAAAAGAAGTAAACCCAACCTCTACAAATGTTAATACCGATTTACTTTATATTTTGTTAACTTAAAAAAAATATATATATAATTGTGGCATGTGCAAAAGTTTGGATGCCCCACCAAGTCAGATATCACAGCTTGCAAAGGCTTTTTGTAGCCAGCTAGGAGTCTTTATGTTCTTGTTTTATGAATTTTCACCCAGTCTTCCATGCAGAATGCTGTGAGATTCATGGGCCATCTTCCATGAACACCGTGATCTACCCACAGATTCTCAGTAATGTCTGAGGACTATGAGAGCCAGTCCAGAATCTTTAGCTTGTGTTTCTTAGAGTAGTTCATGGAAGTTGTTGTGGTGCCTCTTTTCACATTCAGTTTATTGATTGACTCTCACATTTGCTTCCAGAATTCGCTCATATTTCATAGTCAATGCAGTGTCTCCGGTGGCACTGGCTGCAACGCAACCACAAAGCATAATAGATCTACCCCAGTGCTTAACATTTGGCAAGCTGTGGTAGCAGGAAAAGTTTCGCTGCTGCACTGTAGAGCTGTGCTCTACCACTTCTGTGTCAGCTAAACCTGTCCTGAATGTCTTTGGCTGTCAAAGGGAGTTGCTTTGCCTTTCTGGCCAGCATATGAGCCATTGAATCTGACAGTTTTCTTGTTCTTCCACATCTAGCCTTGACTTCTACAGTTCCCCTTAACTACCGTTTCAGACACTGGATATTGAGAGCTGAAAGTGCTTTGGCATGTTTTTATAGCCTTCCTTTGCTTTGAATTCAGCAGTTAATTTTAACTTCAGTCTTAACAAGTCAATTAAGGCCTAACGAGTAATTAAGTTCTGAGGCACTGCTGTGTCTAATCCACTTCTGCGGTCACTCGCTGCCGTGCCACTGTATGTATACACACTGTATGTGTGAGTGAGCATAAATATTTTGCATTTTGTCTAATATGCTACAAAGTGTATTCTTAAAATTATATCAGTATGTGCAAAAAGTAAAATCACTGAAATATTTCAGAAATTCTGAGTGCTTTTAATGTCCCCCTTTTGCTTTATTGACTGAGTAGATCAAATCCACCTGAGAGTCTTCCACTAAATACAAGCTTAATGGAAGTAATAAGATCTTGAATATGTTTTTAGAAAAAATATATAAAATGTTCTGTTTATTTTCAGGTTGAAATAAAAAAAATAATAATTTGTCCACTTTGTCTCGGACTTCTACCCCACTGTATATCACAAAGAAAGAGAGTAAGTGAGAGTGAGACCGTGGTTAATGGGTAGATGGATGAATGGATAGATGGATAGCATTTTAATCTGAAACTTTGCACGTGCTTTGCTTATTTCTTAACTGTGTCCGACACTCATGTTCTCACCGCAGGTGCCTTGTGCTTATTTTTAGGCTTGACAGTGGTGTGTCATGAAGTGAAAAGCTTTTGACAGCAGTGTTGCTGGCATGATGGTATGAGATTTTGATCTCATATGGTATCTGAGATATGCTGATTCCTTCTGCTATGGCCAGTCTTATACTGTACCAGCTAAGTGTTGACCTCTACAGTGCTATCTGACGGTCTTTCAGCTTGAAGTTTGAAAGCGTACTTGAACCTATACATACCGCTGTGAGGTCTTCAGCTTGGGCTTTGACCTTCTCCTAAATGAGTGAAACCTGCCTGAAGCACTGAATGGCTCCTTTTGTTGAGGCAAGAATTCTTTCACCTTCACTGTCTAAATAAGAATCCTTATCTCAACTATTTCTTCCACAAGATGGCACCATGGTCTGCTTTAAATGTGAACCTCTCACTATGAGACTGAAAATGAAGACATTTGATCCAGACATTTGGTCCACAGGCGTGACAAAATCAACATCTACACTTCAGCAGATTTAACAGTCGGCACAGTCCATAGTCTCCTCTTAAACGTTCCACCCTATATTTTCCTCCTGTGTTGTGATTTAAAGTACCATCTGATTTAAAGTGGAGTGCTAGAGCTATGCAGGAATTTCACCTGCTCCACACAAAGGCATAACTCAAAGGAATGAGAGAAGAATGCTGTCTTGGGGGAAAAGTATTTTGAAGGTGTTCTTAGAAAGGCGTCCAAATGGGCCAGAAATATGCTTCAAGACGTCCAGAGCTGACCAATCAATCAGCTGCGGCCCGCCTAGAGAAACGGCTGGCGCACTGACAGACCTGATGGAATTTTCCAGACATCACTGTGCTTGAATGACTCATGATGATGATGATGATGATGCATGATTTCATGACTTTACATGATGTGTTTATGTATGTACTGTTTGTTTCCATTCTAGTCTTTTTGGCTGACTTGCTGTGTGTACATGAATACAATCAGGCTTTCTGCCGCCCCCTTGTGGGCACTCAGACATTTGTGTAACACATTGTGATCTGAGGGAAGATGCAATGTTCAGGGTTGTTAGGGTTGTAAAAATGCATGACTGTTCTTAGATTGGCTGTAGATTTTGAACACCCTTGGTCAAATTACAAGTTATGTAATTTTCTAAGTGAAATAAGTTATGTAGTGAAATTAATCTGAAGCAGAGTAGACAGTATGTTATTAAAGGCGATAAAAATCATACTTTTTTGCGCAAATTTGACGTTTAAGGGTTAATATGTATCCATTTAAACAAAGCTAATTATGCTCTTTTTGTAATGAAACAATGTTCTTTGAGTACTAACAATATCCACAATATACTCAGTAATCGCATTGTATTGTGATGTGATGTAATTTAGCACAACAATGATAAATATTGTCACATTGCCCACCCATCTTTGTGTGCGCACTTCTTTTATGTTGCTGACCCTTATGACCCAAGCCAGCTTTGTATCCCCCCACATCCGTCTCATGTGTGGTCCTGTTTTTTTGCCCCATTGTCTCTGTATGTGTGTTGCTCCCAGCAGTGCTCACTGTCAGCCTGTTTCCATCTACAGCAAACGACAGATGAATTATTCACTCATCCTCTGCACTGCTAAACCAACATTTGTGTCCTGTCACTGTTAGGAAGCATGGCATAGATGCATGTGCTTCTGTATGTAATGTTTTTTTTTATAAATATATTTTTTGAACATTCAAATTTCATGCAGCAACGTGTTTCATGCAGCAACGTATTTCTTCCATCAGATGTTTTCCATAGACATCTGTACAACAGTAAAATGGGTTTATGGGATTTTATGAGTGTATTTTCTTTAAAATCTCTATTCTATAGATTCAGTCAGGAGGATTTAAAAGATTTCACTTCATTTTAAATGTGAATGCTTACAAAATGTTTTTGCTGTGTCTGCAGGGCTACCATCGAGGAGACATACTCCAGATCGATGACCAAACTGGCCAAATCTGCCAGCAACTTCTCACAGTTGGGGTAAGCATGTCTGTGCATGTACATATTGTGTTCAAGGGGGGTGGCAAGTTCATTTAAACCTGTGGTTCCTTCCAAAACCACCTCAAATCAGGACCACTGGTGCTCTCCTGACTTTTGCTCCACCCCACAAAGAAAGTATTGAGGCAGCAGCCTGTGGCTATGGCTTTATGTCGATGATGAATTGATAGGGTGTGCTCATTACTGAGGAAGGTTCTTGATTGGACTAAACTATAAATTGAGTGCTAAACTTGAAGCATTTTTTCAGTGTGGGGGTAAAGATTTGTAGTTTGTGTGTAAGTGCTAGCTAAGAAGTGAAGGCCCAATCATGCCACTCAGTGACTAGATCTACTGTTTCATTTTTTCTGTAGTTTCTGTAATGTGTATACTGGTGCCAGGGGCAGGGGGAGGGAAAGGCGGAGAATCACTAAATAATTTTCCCCCTAAAAAAAGGGGCGCACTCTGAAAAAGTTGAAGAACCCTTGCTACACACTATAACATTACTAATGTCAGCATTGTTGATAATATAGGTTATCATTCTAATTACTGTCGCACTGGTAAGTACTTCAAACTTACTTGATTTTCACACACAAATAAAGCAAGAAGTCTTTCACCAGGAACTGGAGCTCAAATAATTAAGGTTGTCTTGACAACATGATCACGTCTCATTCACTGGCTTTCACATTACGGGCATGTTTGTAGTATGTAACTACATCAGCTGGGCTGTCACATTGAAAATCGGTGTAATGAATAATGAATTAGATAAACTCCACCTCTAAACTAGTTCATTCTAATCTAAAATATGCTGGTATTCAAATCCTCGTTAGCATTTAAAAGTGCAGTAAAATTATAATCTTTTTAGAGGTTGCAAATTTAGTAACTGCTAATTTGTGCAGTCACAATCAAATAATGATTAAAAAGTTACTTGCAGTATTAACAGCATAAGAAAACACTTTTCCACTGCTCCAGAATCCAGCCGACGCTTGGCATTGCACATGGTGATCTTAAGCTTGTGCACAGTTACTTAGCCATGGAAACCCATTTCATGAAGCTCCCGATGTACAGTTATTGTGCTGGTGTTGCTTCTAGAGGCAGTTTGGATCTCTGTATTGAGTTATGCAATATAGGATAGGCAGTTTTTATGCGCTGTGCACTTCAGCACTTGGTAGCCCCCCTCTGTGAGTTTGTGTGGTCTACCCCTTTGAAGCTGAGCTGTTGTTGCACCTAAACACTTCCATTTCAGAATAATAGCACTTACAGTTCATTGGGGCACGTCTAGCAGGCCAGAAATTTCTTGAACCTACTTGTGGCAAAGGTGGCATCATATGACAGTATAATAGGATGATATATGTACATTACAGGTATAGATAGCAGCAGCATTCAACTACCTGTCTCTACTTATATGCAATACAAATCAGCCAAAATAAAATGAATCAATTGGCAGTTGACTTGTTTTGAACAAAAAACTGCTGATTCTTGCCAATTCCTCTTGTGCATTCCTAATTTTAAAGACTTTTTTCTTTATCTGTGTCATATAAGTGTTTTGTAACAATTAATGCTGGTGTTGTAATATGTTGTGATATATTTAATGATCACGGACTTCCTTGTGGTATTATGTTTGGTGTGTTGGTGGTCCTTAATCTCCATAAGACTTTAAAATGTGACCTCTCTGCAGGACGTTTGCTCCAGCATGGGATGTGTTTAAAGTGTCAACAGAAAAACTGGCTGCCTGTCACATGGAGCTGGTGCGCAAGCTGCAAGAGCTCATCAAGGAAGTTCAGAAGTATGTGGACGAACAGGCCAAGGCACATAAGAAGGTATTGAACCGTCACTGATCATTTGTGCCACGCCTGTGGTACTAGTTTTGTCAAAAGCCTTAAAAGTGTGTGTGATCGCTGATAGAGAATTCCAGGGCTGATATGATGACCGATAGTTTCCGTATTCGTCACTTTCATTGTGAGTGTCTTACAGAGCGGCGGTTTTAGGTACTGTTTAGGCCTGGATGATAAAATGATGATCTTTATCAGACGTTTTTGCAAGATAACACATTTTTCCTTAACATGATTATATTGTTATGTTCCTCATGCATGATTCACACATCCTACCTTTGCGTGGTGTGAGCAGTGTGAACGCTACAGCTTGAACGCACTGGCCTTTCATACAGACAGTGTTTATGCTGTGGAGCAGCGAGAAAGTTATACAGACATTCCTTTTTACAGATGGGTAAATGGTCACATCAGTCACTCCGCTCAATAAAAATATCATTTATAAAAGTGCATGTTATATTTGTTTATCCTCGACAGCATTCTGACTTGTGATTAGGAAAAAGTTTCAAAAGTTTGGCCTGGTAGACCAACCAGGAGATCTGTTTGCAGCATGGAATATTTAACTAGTATTTCCTCGTTAATTGAATTTAATTAATTTTAAAAAAGAGTGTTTTTACATGGTTTTCTGTTTAATTTTTGTTGATTTTCATGGCTTATTTCAGTGTATTTTGCTGTGTGATGCATGTGGCACGTAGAAAAAAAACGGTGCCTTTTTTTAGCTAGTGTTGAAATTATGCAGAGTAAAAAAGGTATCTAGAGCAGTTTTTGCTCTGACCAACCTTGCAACATAGGGAATACAACAAAAATGTGGACTTTCTAGGGGTCCCTGAGGACCAGTTTGAGAACCTCCGCTCAGGAGTAAACAAAGAAAAGGCCCCGCATCATTCGCAGTGTGGATTTTTTTTAAAAGTAAAGCAAACGAACCAGAATATGCTTTTTGTTTTCTTCAGAGTTAAAAGTACTAAGCAGACTTAAATTAAGAATTAGGAAGGGCATATAATAATATAGACAATTTTAATTTGATTAGATTTTTGGCCATATTGCTCGATCCTAATGTTAGTTGCCTACTTTTTTTACTACTTCACTTATTATTAGGCCTGTAATATTGTCTTGGCATTCATTAAATGGAAAACGAGAGCTTTGATTGCTTAGTAGAGACTGTATTATTTTACTGTATAATTTTATTACACGCTGTGAGTTATTATTGAGCCTGATGTGCCTTTGATGACCAAATGCCAAGACATGAAGGCTTTCAATCACTGCTAAATGAAATGAGATTGATCACTGTGTTACTTCTGCTTCAGTTGAAGTACGTCCAGCATTAAAGTGTTACTGCTTCCTGCAGTTGCAGCCATCGTTCCCCTGTTTTTGACAGATTTGAACCACTAGAGGCCAAACATGAGTCAGAAACACTTCCAGAATAGGAAATATATCACATCTGGGCCTAAATGTTAAATATAAGGCCAAAGCTCTTTTCAGTTTAATTCAATTTAAAAATATGACATTTTATTATTATAGCTCTTTTTACAGCAGGCATTGTAATAAGTGATTTAGAAGAATGGATTACTGCATTGCTTTGCTTAAAGGGGCCATAAAGAGTTTGGTGTAGGGTGATGTAAAAATATTGTTAAAGTTTCAAAATGTACCATTCACTTCCCGCTCCATGCAGTCCTTAATCTGGAAAAACAGCTTGTTTGAAGTTGTCTTTTGATGTCACAAAGACCAAAACATTTTTATATCTATGCCTATTCAGCCTACAGCACTGCAGCCCCGCCCATACACGATAAAGTTATAATGAGTGTTTCAGCCTAGACTGCTTTTTGAATACTGCACAGCCAGTCCGAATAGGACTCATCTGCATATATCAGTGTTAAAGACACAGTAACCACAACAGCCTGTTCAATTCTAAGGGATAAGAAAATGTTGGAAAATGGTTGTGTACATAGGAATTATTGTGACTGGATTTGGTAAATAAAACCACACAAGCACTGTAAGTAGAATACAAGAAAAATGTAGGATATGGAGTCTTTAATGAAATATAACCAGCTACAATTATGCTGCATTTTCTTAAAAATAAAATGCCTCAGCACTTTATATGAAAGCACATTTTAAGGGCCATGCATTTCATTTCAATTTCTTTCTGTGCTCTTTAGGTTCAAATTGCACTTTGGACTAGTTTTGTCTGTTTTAGTGTCAAGAGGTGACAAAAACATAGCAAAATTGTTAAAGTAGCAGTAATGTGACAGCATGTTACATTAAAAACAGTAAAATGTAACAGGAAATTTTCATCAGACTTAAACAGTGATTTTCCTGAATAAAAGTTTAGAATCAACAGAATTTCTTAGCTTGTTGAGAAAGTGAGAAATAATAAATATTGAATTACACCACTCTTTTCTTACTGCTGTAAATAACTCATAGGGGTTAACATTTAGCCTTTGATTATAATATATTTGTAACCACTACATGTGAGTTTATATTTATTAATGCATGAAATGAAACAAGATTTAAAAAAACAATCCAAAATATTTAGTTATTAAGTGTGTGACAATGCACTTGGACCACAATTTGATGGGTTCACAATCGACATTCTCACAGTATTTTGAACTAAATATGATGGACGAAAAATGACCACTGTTTAAGCTGCTGTACAACTTTCTAAAAAGACTAGAGCTGCGAGGTGGGATTAGTGTAGCATATGACATGGGCATGCTGGATTGGATTGTTGATTGGTTGCTGGCTAATTGTGAACTTTGGTGTTCAGACAGTGCAGTTGCCTTTTAGATGGCATAATTAAAGGAATAGTTCAAACCGCATCAATGTCGTGCAAATGTTTGCAATTTCTGTTGTGGTTTTTTTTAAAAAATATAAATAACTGTTTGCCTTAAATGTTCTAACCGAACATAAATTGTAATTATATAATTTATAAATAGAAACAAAAGAAATTGTGTAATTTGACATCAGTATGCCTGCATGATGAGTTCTTCTTGGGAGGCGTAATTCAGCCAAACCTTTATTATCTAAAGTGGCTTCCTGCTGTGTTCAGCTGTGAAGTTTTATTCATCTTTGTAGCTCACAGTACGTCAAACTGTGTCCTAAACCACATCAAAAATGCACAACCTCATTGAAGACTGTTTGGGATGCAATTTGAGAAGGTTAAGAGAGATTTTCAGAGGTTGTATTATCAGAAAATTTCCAATAGGGGGGAAATACAAAAATCTAAAAATAAGCATCATTGCCTTAAATGTAAGAACTCCTATAAAGAACTTTGGAGTTTGGGCCTAAACATGGGAAAAGTAACCAAATGACTTACACACCAAAAAGGCCAAAAAGCCACAAACTGTGTGTGTTTGAGTCATTTAGTGAGAAGAATAGCCGCTCAGTAATGTCTTCCAGATTGGTCAGACACTACAGGGTGCTCCTAAACAAGTACAAAATGAATGGGTTCCTATGGTGCTTTTGTGCAAAATCGTAGTTTGTAAATATTTAATCATTTTTATACAGACGAATGCTCTAGTTTTTACAGTACAGAATAGCATAAAATATTTCAACACTGCTCTCATGTGTTTTGAACTCCAGTTATAGGACTTCTAACATTGCCTCATGTACCCACATGATATAAGTGAGTTTGAACGGCTTTACTCAGAGAAAATGCTGATCAACTTCCCAACCAACCAGCACTCAGTAACAGTAAGGCTAGCGTCCTGCTGCCTGAAATTTTTACATATTATATATATATATATATATATATATATACATTTAGATGTGTGTTAAATAACTTACAGCACGTCACCTTTGGTGGCAAACTACCCAACTTTCACATAGCAAAAGTACAGGAAAAGATCTTAAAGTGAATGAAAGTAAATAACGCAATGTTTGGTTACGTATGTTTTTGTTGTAGTTTTTTTTTCCCCCCTTCAGTCTCTTCTTCTGCAGGTGACACACATGCTTAATTGGGTTAAGGTCTGGTGATTTACCTGGCTAGTTTAAAACCTTCCACTTTTTTCTTCTGATGCAGTCCTTTATTGTGTTAGCGGTGTGTTTTGGGTCGTTGTCTTGCTGCTTAATAAAGCTCCTCCTGATTAGATTAAATGCAATTCTCTGTAATTTGGCAGCCAGAATGTTTTTGTAGACTTCTGAATTCATTCTTTTTCTACCATCGTGGGTCATCAGTAAGGATCAGTAAGCCTGTTCCAGAAGCAGCCATGAAAGCCCAAGCCATGGCACTACCTCCACCATGCTTGACCGATTAGCTTGTATGTTTTGGATCATGAACAGATCCTTTCTTTCTTCTATACTGGCCTTTCCATCACAAAGGTTAATTGTGGTCTTATCTGTCCATGAAATTCAAAAAACACCTGTCAGGCACATGTTCTAAGTTGTTCATCACATCTAGATACAAATAAAAGCTGAAAATCTGATCTGTCATCTCCGATTCATCTTTTGATCTCAAACCCAAATGTCTACAGTGTATAGCAAAAACAAAAGAATTGGCCTTGGTGTTCTAGTACTTTTAGATAAATGCTGTAAATGGCTAGAAACATTTTTAGCCAGTTAGCTCCACTCACACCAATTCATTGAGGTCTCTCTTGTCGGCACTACCGTTTCACGTCTATTCTAGCATTTTGCAGTCATCATTTTGGTATAAAGAGAGGAACAGGAGGTGGCTGCGCTCCCCATAAACTGGCTCTTGTGTTTACATATTTGTTTTGGGCATGTAAATGAGATCTTTGACACCCTATTCTAAATTTTGTCATTTTGAGACATTTTTAGTAGTGTTACCGTTTGATACTGCTGAAGGCACTGAATGACCTGCTATAGAATGCTGTTGAGGCCACATTTGATTCAGCTGGTTTGTTTGTTCATTTTGCTCAGAGTAATCACCAGTGCAGGGATGGAGCACTGATTTGTTTCTCTGCAAAAGGAAAGTCTCTGGAGTTGGCTGTGTCTTGTGTGCGTGTAGTGAGAAGGAGCGTTTTAAATCCTGACAGCAGCTTACAGCGACGGGTCATATTAAATACATGAGCCAGGCTCAGCCAAGTGGCCTGATAAGACATAAAACATTGTCTTTGAATTAGAGCTGAGTGTGTCTGTGTGTTTGTGTGCACTCGTGCAAGTGCATCTCTCTCAGCACCTCCGAACTCATCTCACTCACAGTTTCTCACGCCTCCCTTTCACTCTTTCACACACGCACCTCTTATTTTTCACGTCCCTTTCTCTCCTTCTTTCCCTCTCTGTCTCCTGCTTTTGTATTAGGCCCAAATGCAGTCTGTTTCTTTCCTTTTGGTAGATTGTCTTATTTCGATACTTAACTTTATTTCAATTCCAGTCATTTTTCATATTTGTTGTTTAGAAGATATTTCTAGTTTGTCTTTGAGAGAGAGGAGAAAATCAAGCTCCACTCTTGATTCAGATCTGAAAAAATCTACAGGTGTTTCTGGCCATCCTTCCACTGCGAGAGGACAACTCAACACTATGAGTCTGAAAGGATGTGTTTTTTTAAGACTGAACTTTGGAGGTGTGTAAAAATATCCCCGCAGATTTCTTTGAAAAACTGAAAGCAAACTTTTCTGCTTTTTTATTGACACTTAAAAGTGAATACCTTTTACGTAATGACTGTTTTACCTGGACATTTAAATCAATAAAGGATGGTGTCTGACTCTTGCATGAACTGTGCGTGCAACTATACAGAGGAAGCTATTCAACTGTACAAAAGGAAAAGGGGGGGAAATCAGGCACAACCCTTTTGATAATGTGTATACATATACATAACTTTTCAAGACATGTCAAAACTTGACTATTGGCTTTTAGCCAAAACATATTTCAAATGTTTTATTAAATACTTCCTGACTTCTTCAGAAGTGAATAAAGTGCTAAATAATATTCTGTAATTATCTACTTATTAAATATATTGTACTATGTCTTTTTGTCAGGTTGCCTTGAGATTTAATTTGCAGTTTTAAAATATGATCCATTTATTAAAACTTAACTCATGATGTTACCCAGCTTTCTTTCTCATTTCAGAGTCTTCTCAGCTCTCTTTGTCATTCTGGACACATCAAAAATGTCTTGATGTTTGTTTACAGCTTCCTAGTGTCCTGCTAATTATTTGAAAGCTGTACAGTTGCACAGGATGAGCATTTGACTGCAGCCAGATTGTTTTTATATTCTTGAAAAAGATTCTTCAATAGGCCTCTCACTTCAGGCCCACTGTAAGGTCCAACAGGGTTCCCACGAGTTATAAAACTATTAGAAATAGCTGGTATACAGAATTACTGGTTAGCGTTCTCCTCAAGAGTGTTGAGTTGTCGAATGACGTTGCTTTAACAGCAGTTCGAAAAGATGCGGTGGCTGACTTCTCTGAGGAAGTATGTGCTAGCCTTTGTCCAGTTTAGTAGCATCTTGTGATAGCTAGTGGACGAAACCTGCAAATTGTGGAGAATATCTGATAGAAATGTCATGCAAACCTCTTATAATGTATATACATGTTTTAGGATGTGTCCCTCAACCCTCGGACGGCTGTGGCATCCCAGGATTGAATTTGTGACCCCTTATTGATGGGGCATATATCATAGTTGAGTTTGTGTGCATTGCTAAGGTCTGAAGAAGCTATTAAAAAATTCTTTTCATTTTAGACATTGTGCAGCACCTCTGGTCCAAATAGTCAGAGGATACACTGGAAGGGGGGTTTAATTTTTTATTTACAGAGAATAATCACTAACACACGCAGGAGGTATTTTACTGATACTGATACACTATTATGTTATGTTCCTCATGCTGTTGTTGTTGCTAAAAGTGCACTAATGGAAGTGGCCTCTGGCCACTTTCTCTGTTGTCCGCCTGTGGCTAAGTTAACCTCTGCATGTTTAGAATTTCTTTTTCCTTTCACAAGCCTAATATGCATGGAAAGGCTTTGAAAATTGCACAAGTGATGCTTTGTAAACATTTCCCTCCATTTACCTCTGTCTGGTTGTGGCCAGTTCCTAACAGAGTGTCATTTCCATCAGTCGTATAGGGCAGAATATAACTAACGCAGATGCTTGCTTATAATCAAAGAAATGCTGTTTATTTCAGAGAGATCTGTGGGCACATTAAATCACTGCAAAGAAGTATGTATGAGTAGCACTGCCAAATTCTCCATGTGCTCAATATGACTAAAATGAGGGCGCAACCATTACCGCAGTGTGATTGATTACAAAGTAGTTGGGAGTGTTCTGGTGGATGTTTTGATGTTTTGGTGCAGGAGGGCTTGGTTATGTCTAAGGCTAGTTCTAAAAGCTAACCAAAGTGGAAGATCAGTAGAGCGTTTCCATTTGTTCATGTCTTGGTTTAATGCTGCATGCATGACAACTGGGAGCTCGGCATCTCCTGCTTCAGCTGCTTGAGGTCGAGGGGAAAAAAGGATGCTCACAGTAAGTTAGTGCTTTTGGCTGCTGTGTGCATATTAAAAGCTCTTAAAAGTGCTATCAGTTGAATTAAAGAGCTGTTTGGTTAGTGCTTCGTTATGTTTAAAATGTGGATGAAGGCTATGGCCATTCACCATTAATATATGACCCTAGAATTATGTGAAAGCATGCAGTTTCATTCAAACTCTTGCACAGAAGGCCTTAACCTTACAATTATCCATGTATGCCCATGTGTTTGTCAACATTATACATGAGTAGCATATCATACACAAACAGAAACTCAAAGGTTGGTATAAAACACTGAAAACCTGCCATTAGTTGTTGTTCAGTGGCTGCTGCCATGTTGAAATGAGTATCACGGATCAGCAAGTCAGAGCTCTTGATAAAGTCTGACATTCCGAGTGGGAATTGCAAGTTTGAGGGACATTTAAATGGATTTTTCCTACTTGAAAGTTGGAAAATTCCCAGTTCCTACTTGATAAGAATGCAGTATAAAGTCATTGTGAATTGGAAATCATAACGCATTTTCCTTCCATACCGTGGTATTTATTTAACCAGGCACATGATCTAACAAATTTAAAAAAACTGGTCAGTTTTAATTTTAGATTTCCGTCACCCAATTGCTAATGTTGCTAATAATGAAAGACAACTCATTGTGCATAATGCAAATGCTATCATGCTAGCTAGTTCCTACTAACAAACATTCATTCATTAGCCATCTTATGCTGCCTCTTAGTCCTCCTCATAATTTCCTGCTTACAGCTTTGAAGATCGTAAGTACGACATTATATGCATTCAAGTGGTTTTGGTCTGAAACATGACAGACATGGTGTTTTACTTAAAGTTTATATTTTCATTCATCCTCTTAAACCACTTGATCCAGCTAGGGTCACGGTAGCAATAGGGAAAGCAGAGAATCCCAGGCGATCCTTTCCCCCACAGCTTGCTCCAGCTCATTGGAGGGGTCTCATCCCAGTCAGCAGTGCCTGAAAAACCTCAGGCGGGAGGCACCAAGGTGGCATTCTAAACTAAGGCCTGAACCACTTCAACTGGCTCCTGGAGCCACATCTGGAGGAGTAGTGGCTCATCTTTGAGCTCCTCCTGGATGACTGAGCTCCTCAGTAGAGTGTAGCCCGCCACTCTGAAATCAAGCTCATTTCCGCGGCTTGTATCCGTGGTCTCATTCTTTCGGTCATTACCCAAAGCTGATGACCATAGGTGAGGGTGGGGATGTAGACGGACTGGTAAACAGAGAGTCTTGCGTTATGTCTCAGTTCTGTCTTCACCACTACAGTCCGGTACAGTGACTGCATTACTGCTGCCGCCCGTCCCAGCCTGTGGCCGATCTCACGATCCCTGATCCCATGACTCGTGAACAAGACATTGAGATACTTAAACTCCTCCACCTGGGGCAGGTCCTTTTTCCTTACCTGGAAGGGTCATGCCATTCGCATACCAACTGTTGCACACTCAGCTGCAGACCGCTCTGGTGGGCACTGAAGGCATCCTTGCAATGGAACCGAAAGGAAATCATCATTTGCAAAAAGCAGATATGCCACCTTAAGGCCTCCGCACATGGTTGGCTAATGACCTTATAGGCAGTGGGAGAAGTTTATATTACATCACACATGTTTGTATTTATTGTGTGTGCTTGCAGGGCTCGTGTGGCTGCGGAATAACTGAAATAAAACCAGTTTACAAAACAACCATCAGTGGCCGCCATTGCTTTTTTGCTGACTCGCTCTCAACTTCAACTGGTGTTCATATTCTCATCTCTTACATACGATATTTCCGACACAACTCGAAGGCAGCATCTTCTTATTTTGCTAAAATATTTTCTGAAACATACCTTCCTTCTCTAAGTCTTTACTGAATCTTAGTCTGGAAGCTCACTGCTGTTGTTCTGTCTCTGGCAGACTAAAGAGGAAGTGGCGTCCACACTGGAAGCAGTGCAGAACATCCAGAGTGTCTCGCAGGCCCTGCAGAAGAGCAAAGAGAACTACAACAGCAAGACCCTGGAGCTGGAACGCATGCGCAAGGAGGGAGCCACACAGAGAGACCTCGACAAGGTACATACAAGGGCCTAACCGATACCTCTCTTGGCTGATTAATATGGTCAATTACATGGTTATGCTATCAAAAAAAAATATGCCACAAATATTTTTATGCAGCTTGTTTTATTTTATTTACCACTGATGTACATCACAATAAAACAGCATAAATTAATAGTCACATTGTCACACGACCTCTCACCACTAACACTGTTTAGGTAAAATGAGAGTAAAGGTGACATTAGATGCAGACTAACTAAACTACCTCCAAAACTATGGATCGAGTATCAGCTAAATTAAGCCCAATTCTTTTGTGATCGTTTGTTATCATGTGTGTTTTCAGAAATTAACAAAGAGATAAATGTCTACTGTATGGACCTATTTCATGGTGAAATATGAGAGCTGAAGCTTTTAGAATGGGCCTCACAGTCCCTTGACTTGAGCATCATTGAAAGTCTTTGGGTAGATATTTAACATGTTGTGTGTGCAAGATGGCCCAAGAATATTACAGGCTGGAAGAGTTCTGCAAAGAACAGTGGGTAAAAGTTCCTGAAACAAGAACAGAAAGACTCCTAACTGGCTACCAAAGACACACTTTATAGGATGTCCAAGCTTTTCATCGTGCCACGAGCAACTATTGTTATTTTTTATTATATATATTTTTTAAGTTAAGTTAAAGCTGCACTACCTACGTTTTGGGGATTTGTTGACCTCTCTGGCGGAAATGTGTATTTGTATGCAACATGCAGAAGGGCACTTTTAGCTCGGTTGAGCTTCAGACCCCTTCCCCAAGTGGATGAATCTGACGTTTCCATACACGTTGAAAAAGTATTTAAAGAGAACTCAGTCAAAATTTGGTAAAGGATGTGTATTCCGAGAATATGGTTGAATTATCTACTGTTGTCATCATATCTTCATCAGTTTAATGTTGAAATGTTGATTGCACTCTGAGTGTTAGATGTATGAGCGAAATGTGCCTGCATTTTGAATTTAATATTCAGACTGCAACTTATCACATTAACTACGTCTAGCCCTGCCAACTAACTGATGCTCATGAGACACAGGGTTTAAAAGTGGAT